AAGCACTGCACACAATTCGGAAAGCTGGGGGGAAAAAATTCATGCATCAAGATGACCAAGGGGGTCTTCTAAGGACATTGTGTGAATGTGGTTCTTTCGCTTCCAGGACCATCAGCTGATTTCTATTTTAAATGCAGTTTGTTACTCGAGAGAATTTGGCTCGATTCACCGATGCACGGCGTTTGGCAAGAGGTCATAATAAATTCACACAAATGAACAAAATAATTTTCTTTCTCTTCTTGTTTTTCAGGCGATTGCAAAGGTAATGCCTGTGTCGAAGAGGCACGATCCTAGATCTAACAGATAAAGAAATGGGAGGGGGGATGTTGCTTTGAGAAACAAGGGCTTATAATAAAGATAACTGCATGCCATCGAGTCAAATTCTGACCCACGTTGACCCTTTTCCAGGTTTTTCTAGGTGGACAGCATTCAGAGCTGGTTTACCAGTGACTCCTTCTGAGGGCACTCGATGACTGTGCTGCCTGCCCAAAGCCACACAGGCTGGCTCTTCCCCTAGGAGGCACGGTAGGGAATCGAACTCCGAACCTCTGGTTCTGCAGTCCGATATCTAACTCACTGAGCTATCCAGCCAGCTAAGCTTACCATCTGGATCTTAAATCCTCACACTCTTGTGTATGAAACGTAAAGACCTGAAACATCGCTAAACGGAACTAAAAAACTCAGAATCTCCCCCTGCCCGTGCGGGTCTGCAGCCATGCTGACTTAGCAATTCTTGGAGGTACCAGATTCCAGAAGGGGGAAATCAGTGAATAGAAAATACCTCTCTCTTAGCAGAACTGGGAGGGCAGCTGCCTGTCTCTCACCATTCCCAAAGAGCTCTCCTGCAGGTGGTTCATCTCAAAAACCTTCTCTAGAAACCCAAACCTTGGGCATCACTGGGGGTGGTGGGAGGTGGAATGGGGCATGAAGGAACAGCATGTTATTATGCGCTCCAGCATGACGTTGGACCTAGGCTTTTGAAAATAGTAGCAGTCATTGTCGTAAATCAAGTAGATTCTGATTTATAGCCACACTTTTCAGGATTTTCCAGTTAGAGAATAGAACTGCAGTACAGTGGTGCCTCGCATTACGACGTTAATTCATTCCAACGAATGTGAAAATAAAAAGCCCATTGAAACGCACCGAAACCCTTTCAATGCATTCCAATGGGCTGGAAACTCACCCTCCAGTGAAGATCCTCCATAGGGCGGCCATTTTTGGTGGCTGTCTTGAGAGGAGTCTCTCCCAAAAAACAGCAGGGAGCCATTTTATTTACCCGGTGGCCATTCTGAAACCGCCGATCAGCTGTAGGAAAATCGTTTTGCGAAGAATTGGTTCCCGAAGCAGGGAACCAATCATTGCAAAGTGAAAAAAGCCTATTCAGACCATCGTTTTGCGATCGCAAAAACGTAATGCAGTTTCGTCGTAATGCAGGGCGATCGTAAAGCAGGGCACGACTGTATCTGTAGGGAATCAGTTCCAAACACCCCCACCATCATGGCCGAAAAATGGGGAAATGCTATACATAGCATGGTCTCTGGCTCCCTCTAGTAACCTCTTCTGGCAAATACACTGTGAAAATACATATACACATGTACTTCTGGGTTTTTTTAATTTAATCTTTTCAGGCAGCAGATAAGTGGATACCGCAGATTCTGATCCTGTGAGTGGGTGGGTTCTACTGTACTCTGAAGTGGTTTTCCCTTCTTCTGTGCAGCTTGCCCATGATTACACAGGCTGGCTCTTCTAGCTGGAGGCACTGTGGGGGAATCAAACTCCCAGCCTCTCGCTCAGCAATAACTTTCTCAAATTCTGTGTGGATCTGCTTTTTGATGAATCAGCCCCTTTTAATCAATCAATCAACCAACCAATCAATCAATGGTCACTACAATTCATGATTTCTTCGTCCAAATGGAAAACACATGTTTTCAGATACTTTCATCTGAGGTTTTGTCTGAGCTGAGGCCAAATCCTTCATTTCCCCTTATTCCCTCCCCAACCCCCAGTTCTGATCAAACCTTCTAAGAGGGGTCTTTAGTTAAGGCCACCACTTCTCCAGAAAGCCTTTTGCTCGCCACGTAAACATTTGCTGCTCAGTGTTCTGCAGCACCATAAAAGTCCACGTAGTTGCACTTGTCTACTTGCCCAGCTGTTTCCAGAGGTTACAGAATCTGGATGTTTGAACACACTAGCCGGGAATCCATCACTGTCTCCACCCAGTCATCACCAACTCTGAAGCAAGATTCTTTGCTGGTGTGGTGCCTCTACTCATGAGCGTGATCCCAAAGTCTCTGTATGAACAGGACTTCAGACTTGGCAATAATTATGAGAAGACACACCCAAACCACTCCCTATGAGGAAGCTCATGGTTAAAGCGCAATACTGCAGTAGAAACTCTGCTCATGAACTGAGTTCTATCCCAGGTAGCTGGCTCAAGGTTGACTCAGCCTTCCATCCTTCTGAAGTCGGTAAGTTGAGTACCCAGCTTGCTGGGAGGGGGGGCCATATCTACCCTGCATAATTAAATTTTACACACCCAGAGAGTGCTTTAAGCACTATGGGGCAGTATAGAAGCAACCAATGCTGCTTTATAACAGGCATGAGGAGTGTCCAGGACTGGGTGTTTTGGACTACAACTCCCATAAACCCTCACTACTGGCCATGTACCTGGACTTCTGGGGACTGGAAGACAAGAACACATGCAGGGCCACAGGGTGGCAGCCTGCTTTAAAAGTTAGCGGTGCTTTGCTCCCGAAAAAGGAATGTGAGAAAGGCAAAAATAGGTAAGGCTATCAGGTGCAAACTAAGGTAGAAAACACTGCTTTTTTCACAGAAAAGATCACAGGGAAATAATCCAGTGGAGAAGAACATCCTAAATCTAACACTGAGAAACAAGAATCCTGAACCCAAACAAAACTGAATACACAGAGCCTTCAAAAGCCTCCACATGCCCAGAAAGCACAAATACGACACCATCTGCTCAAGATGGTGTTTATACTTTCTTCGTCAGAGAGTCCCCCCCGAGGATCCTCCGGTTATAAACAAGCAGAAGCATACGGACAGCACAGCTGAGCATCAGGCCACAAAAGAAAAAAGGCATCTCCTCAAGTCTATGCAATGATGCATCAGGCCGGACCAACTGTTCATTGTTCTTTTAAAAACCCTCTGGTTAATTTATGTATTTAATTAATAAATAAATACTGTGTTTCTGTATCCATGATTCAAAACACCCATTAATATGGTGCTTCTGTATCCCTGATTCAAGACATCAAACTTTCCATAGCAAAGGGAAGCATGGATGCTGCGGACATCAATGGCACCAGTCGAGACGGTCTACAGCAGTGGTCCCCAATCTTTTTGCTTCCATGGACCAGTTTAGCATGCGGGTGGGCCATCTGTGCATGTGTGGGAGGGGCCATGGGTGCGTGGGAGGGGCCGTGTGTGAGTAGGAGGGCCGTGTGTGAGTGGGAGGGGCATGGGTACATGGGAGGGGCTATGCATGCATGGGAGGGCCGTGTGTGAGTGGGAGCCCATGGGTAGATGGGAGGGGCTGTGCATGTGTGAGGGCCATGTGAGTGGGAGGAGCATGGGTACATGGGAGGGGCTATGCATGCATGGGAGGGCCGTGTGTGAGTGGGAGGGGCCATGGGTTCATGGGAGGGGCTGTGCGGAGGGGCTGTGCATGTGTGGGAGGGCCATGTGAGTGGGAGGGGCATGTGTAGATGGGAGGGGCTGTGCATGTGTGGGTGGGCCATGTGAGTGGGAGGGGCCATGGGTTCATGGAGGGGCTGTGCATGTGTGGGTGGGCCATGTGAGTGGGAGGGGCCATGGGTTCATGGAGGGGCTGTGCATGTGTGGGAGGGCCATGTGAGTGGGAGGGACAGGAGATTTGTCTCTGTGGCCCATTCCTGGCAAGACAGGAGACCCTCTTGTGCTTGCAACCATTCACAAAGAGACACCAAGCAAGGGGCGGGGGGGATTCCCAGAACCCGACTCCTTCTTTTGGGCCATGTGAGTGGGAGGGGCCATGGGTTCATGGAGGGGCTGTGCATGTGTGGGAGGGCCATGTGAGTGGGAGGGACAGGAGATTTGTCTCTGTGGCCCATTCCTGGCAAGACAGGAGACCCTCTTGTGCTTGCAACCATTCACAAAGAGACACCAAGCAAGGGGCGGGGGGGATTCCCAGAACCCGACTCCTTCTTTCAACCACTTCTCACCAAAACACAAAGCCATTGTCGGGGCTGTTTTTCAACGAGACTTTTTAAAAAAACCTACAAGTCCCACCCAGCTAGCAGTCTGGATAGGCCTCACTTCCTGTTTGAAAAGGAAACAGCTTTGCTGGGAAGCTTCCTTTTCAAACACGAAGTTAGGCCTATCCAAGGCAGGAAGCCTGTCAGCAAAAGGCCTGCTCTCCAGGTGAGCACAATTTAATGACCGTAAGGTCTGCGGCCTGCAGAGGGACTCCCAGAAAGTGGGATGATGGGATGTGGAGTCAAAAAAAATCTATAATGTACACTCAAATCTTTTTACCTCTCTCTCTCTCTCTCTCTGGTTTTGTCATTATTTCTAGGAGAAGATTTCTAGGCCCAGTGACACACAATCAGCTCTGCCTGTCAAAGACTGCAAGTCCGATCCCAAGTATTTCTGCAGGGTAGACGTCTTTGCCTGAAACCTGAGCAGCTGCCACCAGTCTACCAGTCTACTACCGATAATGCTGGGTTAAGTTAGACCAAGCATCTAACCCAGGATAAGGCCATTTCCGATCTTCTAGTGCTAGTGTGTTGTAGTACAAACAAAACGTTCTCATTTCTATAAGCCAGAGGAAGGGAAGCTCCCCAGGGACAGGGGGCCCTTTTAGAGCCCCAGCACCTGCGAAGTGGTTGCAATGGCCCCTCTGAACAGAAAACGTAACAGCAATAAAACAAAACTGGGAGGACGGGAAGAGAAGATGTGGCGGCTCACCGCCTTGTTCAAAAGAGAAATCACCAAATATTCCCCCCTTTTTTTCATGCAAGAAATTGTTTAGGAGTTCCGGAAGTCTGAAAAAGGGGCTCAGAATGGATGTGAAAGGACATTTATGATCCTGCCTTGTTAAAACAGATGCTAAGCCTTCCACATTTTCATCCTCATTTTGATGCTCACTACAAAGGGTCTTATATACATGCACAACACTTTTGAAAGAAAGATCCTTCTATTTCCATGTTCCTTTGGCATACGCGTGCATGCCCGTCAATTTTGGAGCCCTTGTGGCGCAGTGGTTAAAGGGCAGCTCCCAACCTGAGTTCAATCCCTGTGGGCTCTGGCAGCTGGCTTGAGACCGACTCTGCCTTTCATCCTCTCGAGGTCGATAAATCAAGGGACCCATCTTGCTGGTCGGGAGGGGCGAAGTGTAGCCTTGCATAATGAAATGGGAAACCACCCAGAGAGGGGTTCAAGCCCTACGGGGTGATCTATAAGCAGCACGCTTTGCTTGGGCTTTCGTTTGGCAGATTCATGTTTGACATTTGGTAAATGCTGAATTTGTCCACTGGGGCGAGAAATACACTTTCCCTTCTCAAACCCCGTCGCGGCCACCCAGCCTACCATGAGCAACTGCAGCAACAGCACCAGCATAAGCAGCAGGGGTTGGCCCGTCGGTGGTTGCTGGCCCGTCGCAGTGCAGTCGGAGACGTCTCATGCTGGGACATCGGAAGCGGTCTCTCCGGGTATTCTGGCTCTGGGTACTAGAAAGGAGAGAAACAGAAGGGTAAGTAACACAGTTCCGGCCCCTTGGATCCCTGCTAGGAGGTAATACTTCTAAAAGGTTACCCTCTTCACGGCTCTGGGTGCAATTCGTATTTCTAGATCTAGATCATGTTTCTTCTGTGCCAGAAGCATCACAATACAATTAACAAACAGATCAGTTTTCACCCAATAACAGACCACACCCGAACCATTTGGGGCAGCTACTATCCATGGTACATGTTAAGGGGCACCGAGAACACCAATATGAGGTGTATGTGTTTGCGGCTTGCCTGTTCACCTCCACATTCACAACGGACTGAGAGGATGCAAAAGTCCTCTTCTCTTAGATCCACCAATGCCTATTAAGTGAATAAAACAATAAAAATAATCGTGAACTGTCAAGGTGAATTCTGACTTCTGACAAACCTTTTCAAGGTTTTCTAGGTACAGGGGAGAGTAACTCAGAAGTCGTTTACCCTTCCCTTCTTCAGGGGGTGCCTTTCTTACCCAAACAGTACTACACATACAGCGGGACCTAGGTTTACGAAAGCCTCGCTTTACATAATTTTCGGTTTAATGAGCCAAAATCCATAGAAAATAATGCCCCGGTTTATGTTTCTTTTCTCCTCCCCCCGATTTATGAAAGGGTTTCCGCAGGATGCATTGCGCCTGGGGGTCTCTAGCGCGGCCCCCGTTCCTAGCGCAATCCGTGTTATCGGTTTACGAAATTTCCCCAGAAGACGCATGAATTTCATAAACCGAAGTATGCCTCTACCTGGGAAAAGACAGGCAGTTTCAGCTTCCGTGTGCCACCTCAGCTGTACGTCTCTGAGGGTGGATTGTCTGCCCTTTCAACTAATATTTTTGGAGCGCCAGCTTTCTTCTCTCAGGTCTGAGAAGCGACTGAGCTATTCTACACATCTTTTTAAAGACGTATTCTTCACTGACCGCTCTTTGGTCTTCCGAGGGGGTAGCTGTTTTTCTGGTTGCCACAGAAGAACAACAAAGGGTCTTGAAGCACCTTAAAGATTAATGAACAGATTTTGACCGGTGTTCATTTTTGTGAACTGTAGCCTACTTGTATCAGATGAGCTGGTTACCATCTATGGGACAGAGCTTTTGATATTTTAATGACCAGGAGGATCCGACTGGAAATTTACCCATGCAAAATGTGAAATTGTGTAAGCAATGTCAGTGCATTGCCGGTAATTACAAAGGAGCTGGTTGCATTCCTGGGAGCGTGACTGGACATGCAACAGGCACCCAACGGAGAACATGATTGGTATCTCATTAATACTGTACATTTGTGACAATTTTGCCTCTGTGATAGAGGATTTCACCACCACGCACAAACTCATCACCATATTGCTCCTGCTTGTTATCAATAGCCTGGGATTAATTTAGCCGCCATCATTATCATTGTTTGTTTGATTTTACAGGCTGCCTTTCTCCCAACAAAGGCGCCCAGGGAGGCTCACAATATTAAAAAAGAATAGAATTAAAAATATAATAAGCTAAACATTTAAAAAACCAACTCTATGCCGAATTAACATACAATTAATTAAAAGCAAGTAAATATTTAAAAACTATCATAACTTGAGTTCAGAGACTCAATCATGATTATGAAAAACCCTGCCTGAAAAGTTGGGACTTTGTGGAAGGATAAAAGGGCTAGCGTGATCTCCCGAGGGAAAGATGGGTCTTCTTCACCTGTCGGTGGAAGGATAAATGGAAGGTGGGTCAGCCTGATCTCCCGAGGGAGAGTGTTCCATAGCTTGGGAGCTGTCACAGAGAAGGCCCTCACCCGTGTCCCCATCAGCTGTGCAATGGGACAAAGAAAAAGGTTTCCTCTGATCATCTTAAATGCCAAGAAGGCTCATATGGGGAGATAAGGTCCTTCACGCAGCCTGGACCCAAGCTGTATGGGGCTTTATAGGTTATGAACAATGCTTCTTGGGAAAGGGAACTGAATATCAACAGGGGGCTTGAAGGTCATTGCCAGGCGTGCAATGTCACATTTTCAGCACCTTGTGACCAGGAAACTGTTTGTTAAAAATAAGAGTATCTTCCAACAGCAGTCCCATGTATAAATGGATAAATATCTGCTATGCAGTCCCACTCTTGAATCTGAAGAAGTGGACTTGTCCACGAAAGCTCGCATTAAAATATACAGCAGTTAAGTCTTTAAGGTGACACAACATTTCTGTCTTCTTTATTGTGTATTTTTCTCTTTTTCTTTCTTTTCCGCCAAGTATGCTAACAAGGCTACCTCTTCTAAAAATACATGAATGGCTAACAGGATTCTGACCTTGTATGTTTCTTTACAAAGGCAATCAATCCATGCTGGAAGTACCTACTGGAAGTGGGTTTATGTCCAAGCACACACACACACACTCATTCATTTATTCAAAATACAAATAAAAAAATCAGGAATACGTCTAATGTGAAAAAGCAACACTTTGCCTGCAGGAGGATTGCAGCATTCTAGTACTTCTCAACAGAGCAGGAAAAAGGGTGCTGGTTCTGGCACCTTGGACCGCTGGATAATAAGAATCTAGACAGATCAAACACTTACCTAGGCATGGCATCACTTGAAATAATTTTCATTGGAAGGAAGATTAAAACGGACTACCACAGCATGAAGCCAGACCATCTAGTTATCGCAAATTTGCAAACATGAAATACGTAAATAACAAGACTAACGTGCAGAAAATGGCCAATGCTTGTGTGGAAACAGATGGACAGAAGAGTGCATGCAAAAACAAACAAACAAACAAACAAAAAAAAAAACAGAAAACTTCAGACTGTATGTATTTCAGCCCCTGAAACTTCCTCATTAGCCTCAAATTTTCACTCTCAGCAATTTTGTTCTTTCCAGCCTTTGAAAGCTGTTGTTATCTACATAAACAGAGCCTTTAATCTTCCCTAAACACAGTGAGCTCACTGGAAGGACAGGTCCTGAAGCTGAGGCTCCAGTACTTTGGCCACCTCATGAGAAGAGAAGACTCCCTCGAAAAGACCCTGATGTTGGGAAAGAGTGAAGGCAAGAGGAGAAGGGGACGACAGAGGACGAGATGGATGGACAGGGTCATCGAAGCTACCAACATGAATTTGACCCAACTCCGGGAGGCAATGGAAGACGGGAGGGCCTGGCGTGCTCTGGTCCATGGGGTCACAAAGAGTTGGACAAGACTAAACAACAAAACAAACAGAGATTCCTTAGTTCAATTTGCTCCTGTCTTCTCTGCCCTTCTTCCACTGAGATTCCTTAGTCCGATTTGCTCCTGTCTTCTCTGCCCTTCTTCCCTGTCCTTTTCCCAAACTTTTTGTAACTGCAGAGCTCTGTCTGAAAATGTGGTGTTCCGAGCCGCTTAGGATACAATCACACAGGCGTTTAGCCTGCTGTGTGTCTAGTGCAGGTACGGGGTGGTTTACTCCCTTTTCATGGTGATTGCATGATGTAATTGCTGGAGTGAATAAGTCCATCTCCAGGGCATTCCTATCTACAGCTTTCTGGGTCTCTGGTCAAGGGCTTTGACTTTCTGGGTCTGGGTAGGACGGCTCTGTTTTGGTTCCATTTCCAGTGTGTGATCACCAAAGTCCTCATTGAATTTCCCAGTGCTTAAGAAGACAGCCCATTCACAGCATTAAATCCTTCTTCTGCTCCTTGAAGGGGCAGAGGATGTTAATTTTTTAAAGACTGTATAAGGGCAGTTTAGAAAAAAAAAGAATTTAAAATTAAAAACTTCCTCCTAGAAGCAAGAGGAAACAGGAGAGGGAAACAAGGTTTTCTCTTCTTTTTCTTTTTGTGAGAAGCAGGGGACATCTTTTCCTTTTCGTGACTTGTTTCAAAAATCAAGTCAAGAACCTGCCTGCACAGATTTGGCTGCCAGCAGGTTCTCGGCCCTATCTTTAAGGCAAGTCACATAAAGAAAAAAATCTCCCCTCCTCCCCATTTCCTCCTGCTTCTGGGAGGAACTTTTAAACTTTTTTTAAAGTGATGTAGTGCATTTGCACTGCCCTGATACAGTGGAGCAGAGGAAGTGTCTACATTTTTAAATACTGAGAAGCAGCTAGCTTGCTTCTTAAGCTACAGTGGTGCCTCGCTTAAAGAGCGCACCGTTTAATGACGAATCCGCATAGCGATGTCACTTTTGTGATCGCAAAAGTGATCGCATTGCGATGTTTAGATAGGCAAAAACTCGCATTGTGATGATCGGTAAGCATTTCGCTTACCGATCTTCGCATTGCGATGTTTTTACAACAGCTGATCGGCGGTTCCAAAATGGCCGCCGCATGCCCAAAATGGCCGCCGCAAGTGTTTTCGTGCCCTGCCCTCGCTTACCGAGGGCACGAAAATGGCGGCGCTATGGAGGAACTTCACTGAACTGTTGAGTTTGGGCCCCATAGGAACGCATTAAACTAAGTTTAATGCGTTCCTATGGGGTTTTTCGATCCGTTTAGCGATGTTTTTGCATAGCGACGATTAATCCGGAACGGATTAACGCCGCTATGCAGGACACCACTGTACTTTACAATATGGCAAATGGACAACAGAAGGAACTGCACCAAAGAGGGCTGCTTGAAGTGCATATGTCATTTGGAGAGAAGGATCACATCAAATGGCATCCTAGTGACCCTATGTAGCCCACTCTAGCCCACTCCAAAGATAGTCATGTAGAGAAGCTCTTAAAATATTCCAGTGTAAGAACAAGAAATGGAAACTCCAGGGAGGTGCCTGTCTCTTCCACACTCTCTGCCTTATAACCTTCTATGGGGATTGCAAGATTTTGTACACGGAAGTTCCCAAATTTAGCCCCAATTATTTCCACAAAGCGCCAGGAAAGAAACCTGATAACCACTGCTGCTGGTCAGAGCTGGCAATATTCATTTCCACAAAGTGCCAGGAAAGAAACCTGATGACAACTAAGCCAGTCCACTGCTGCTGGTCAGAGCTGGCAATATTAGCTTAACCGAGGGGCTGACTTCATGTATTGGCTCCTTATCCACACTATTGTGGAAAGGAAAGCAACACATGCTGCTTCTTGGCTCACCACGTTCGCCTCTTTTTCAAGCCATATCCCTTCTTCTCCTCCTGTCTTGGCAGAGGTGTAAAAAAAAACACAACTGCTGGAAGACAAACTCTTTCAAACCCTTCCGTTTAACTCAACCAGAGACTCCACTTTCACATTAAGACAATATCGCTAGCAAAAGATGCCGATTCTGGAATTTCTGGAAACGGCAGTTCAGAAAACAAGAGCCAAATATTCGACACCCCACCACCACCCGCAGGTCCCCATATCCCTACCATCACTTCACCTGTTTCCCCACTTCATAAACGGTCGGCATGGACAGATCTGTTCTGCCGTTCTGGCCCACGGTGGCTGTCTTCTCCGGCCACGGGCTGGCCACTCCTCCTGTTGACACCTGCCCTGCCTAGGGCACCTGCAGCTCAAGGAATGGCACCTGTGGGAACAGAAAGGGAACGCTTCTTAGTCTCATCACAAGCCCCTAGTCTGTGACATCCCACTAGGACCTTTTATTTTCACACTTTTTTCCAGAAATCCATGGTGGATTACAATCTGAAACATCACAACATCTTCTTATGCGTTGAGCTCTATGCGAACACCTTGCTTGTTTACGTGTAACAATGGCATCCTCTTGTTCCATGAAATGCCTGCTTGAGAAAAATACGTGAACATCTGCTGGAAAAATCGTGACCGCGCACAGATGGATCTGTCAACCACAATGAACTAGTTTATTTAGAACATGGGGCGCCATTTCTCTCACGGAAAAGAATGTACTCCCCAAACACCTGATCCGGTCTAATTCTGGATGCTAAGCAACATCGTGCCTGGTGGATTCCTGGATAAGGATGGATTCCTGGATGGATTCCAGGTACAAACAGGAAGGAAAACTCATCCTGAGATCCTGGAATACCACCGCCAATGGGAGATTTAACTGTTGTCTGTATCCCTGTGTTCTTTTCTGCAGAAGTTGGGTGTCTTCAATAAAATGTTGCGGCATCACTGACTAGGCTTTCACCTACTCCAGATTTTTCTTTCTCCCTCTCATTCTATTTTTTAAATTATTTTATTTTGTACATACAAAACAACAAAGTAAAACACAACAAAAACAACAAAAACAACACATCCATACTACATATATAGATCCGATAATTTGTTGTTGTGTAGGTCATCAGGGTCAGAAGACCAAGCAGTCGTAAGTGATAATTTGTTGTTGTGTAGGTCATCAGGGTCAGAAGACCAAGCAGTCGTAAGATCGAATCCACGCGACGGAGTGAGCGCCCGTCGCTTGTCCCAGCTCCCGCCAACCTAGCGGTTCGAAAGCATGCAAATGCAAGTAGATAAACAGGTACAACCTCGGTGGGAATGTAAATGGCGTTCCGTGTCTAGTTGCACTGGCCATGTGACCACGGAAGATTGTCTTCGGACAAACGCTGGCTCTATGGCTTGGAAACGGGGATGAGCACCGCCCCCTAGAGTCGAACACGACTGGACAAAAATTGTCAAGGGGAACCTTTACCTTAGGTCATCTAATACTATCAACAGGTTCTTTTAAGTGCTATTTTTTCTTCCCCTCTTATTCTATTTGGACTTCTCCCATCTCATTTGGATCTGGATTTGTTTGGTTTCTTTTTTCCCCCGTAGGTGGACTGCAGACATTTGTGCCCACACTTAACTACAATGAACAAAATGGGAGACTGAGTCTCAAGATGCATAAAAATGGTAGCAATGCAGATTTTACTCATTAATCATTGATGCTGGCACCAATATAGACCAAACAAGAAGCAGAAGTTCTAAAACCTTGCTCCTGAAGAAGACCACTGCCGAAATGCATTGAGCCTGAGCTTTTTTAGGTTAAGAATAAAATCTGCATTGCTCCCATTTTTATACATCTTGAGACTCAGTCTCCCATTTGTGAATGTACCAGTTCCCTCTGCTTTGTTTAACTATAATGAAGCCACTGAAGATTGACATCCACTTAGAATCACAAAATAACTAAGTTGGAAGGGGCCTATAAGACCACTGAGTCCAACCCCCCGCTCATTGCAGGAAGCAAAGTCAAAGCAGATCTGACAAATGTTCAGCTTTCTCTGGAGTGCCTCCAGTGTTGGAGCGCTCACCACCTGCCGAGGCCATTGGTTCCGCTGTTGTACTGCTCGAACAGTTGAGAAGTTTTTCCTGACATTCAGCTTAAATCTGGACTCCTGTAACTTGAGCCTATTATTATGCGTCCTACGTTCTGGGATGATTGAGAACAGATCCTTCAAAGCATTCCAGAACAGCTCCGTTGTGTGAACTAGAGAATGAAACACGGGCAGAAAAAAGATGGATGTGTCTACCCAATTTATCTTCCTGTAATTTCTTCCTCCCTCCCGCTTCTTGGTCTGTCCTCCACATTCCATTCAGCCTGCGTGTTGTCCCACCATCTTTCTCAGCCTGCAAACATGCTGTGCTATTAACTTCCCACCAGGTTGCTGTTGAGAGGACGCCCTCCTCAAAAGGGTTTCTTTTCTTTAAAGTTTCAGACACCTTTACAAATCTGAAGTCATCCTAAGTCAGCTGAGACCTCCCTCATCTGCAAGGTGTGCATGTGGGTGGTTCTAGGAAGCATTTCTAGGAATGCACCAGGAAGCCCATGAGTGGGATCCCATGATCTACCAACTTTCTTCCCGTCTTTGAAGCTAAAGACATGGATGGAAAACTGCTTAGTAATGGTTCAGGGATCTGAGTTTGGGAAGGTCACTTGTTCTGGATCACAATGCCGAGAGATTTCCAGAGTCTGATGCTCAGGGACGCTAGAAGGTGCACGACACTCAACTATATGCCTCCTTTCTGCCCAAATCCAAGGAAACAGTTCCACTTCTAAATGGGTGTCTAGTGCTAGCAACTGAGGGTAAACAACCCAAAACTTAATCCAGACAAGACCAGACATGTTCCTGGTCAGTCGAAATGCAGATCAAAGAAGAGAGATTCAACTTGAGCTGGATGGAGTCACCTTGCCTTTGAAAACAGAGGCCTCCAACTTGAGAGTATTCTTGGATTCCCCTCTGAGCCCGAATGCCTGGGTTTCAGTGGTGGCTAGGAAAACACCTGCATGTCTAAAACCGGCGTGCTACTTGCACCTGGAGAGTCTGGACTTGTAAATGGAGATGCATGCCTCAGTTATATCACATCTGGATTACTGAAACACAGTCTCGAATGGGATTGGCTTTAGAATCTCCAGTGGGTCCAAACTATTGCAGCAAGGTTGATGGCCAGAGAATCTAACAGCCTCACCAGCTACCAGTCTACACACTTCAAAGGGTTGTTCGTGACCTGTGAAAGATGCTACAACCTGGATCCAACCCACATTTCAACAAATGAGCCTGTTCAGGTCTTAAGATCTTTAGGACAGTTTTTCTCTGAAGAGGCACATCTGTCAAAGGATGTGGCAGAAGGTCTATTCAGCCATAGTTCCCAAGTTTGGGAATGCCCGCTTAGACAAGAGACCAGAAGACTGTTCCACTCCTTGTTTTCCTTTAGGTAGCAGGGAGGATCTTTTTAAAGGTAGGCTTTTAAGAACAGAATCAAGCCACCGGGTTTCACTGCATGACGCTGTGTGTTCTTGCTGCTTTTCATGTGTGGGTGTTCTTAAATCAACAGTTTTTAAAATGCGGTTGTATGCAGAATGGTTATTTAATGTTATAACAGCTAATTGTGTTTTTAAATTGTAATTTAGGTTGTACTTCTTAAAAAAATCATTTTGTGAGTTGCCCCGGGTGCCTCTATCAGAAGAAAGGTGGCACAAATAAAATATACTATAAATAGAGAAATGGCACAAATAAAATATACTATAAATAGAGAAATGGCACAAATAAAATATACTATAAATAGAGAAATGGCACAAATAAAATATACTATAAATAGAGAAATGGCACAAATAAAATATACTATAAATAGAGAAATGGCACAAATAAAATATACTATAAATAGAGAAATGGCACAAATAAAATATACTATAAATAGAGAAATGGCACAAATAAAATATACTATAAATAGTAACAAGCAGAAGCCACATGGAAGTCAAGAATTTGCGGGCTCACGAACTGGCTGCCAATTAAAGAGATGCTTTATTTTCCCATGATCTACCAACTTTCTTCCCGTCTTTGAAGCTACAGACATGGATGGAAAACTGCTTAGTAATGGTTCAGGGATCTGAGTTTGGGAAGGTCACTGTTCTGGATCACAATGCCGAGAGATTTCCAGAGTCTGATGCTCAGGGACGCTAGAAGGTGCACGACACTCAACTATATGCCTCCTTTCTGCCCAAATCCAAGGAAACAGTTCCACTTCTAAATGGGTGTCTAGTGCTAGCAACTGAGGGTAAACAACCCAAAACTTAATCCAGACAAGACCAGACATGTTCCTGGTCAGTCGAAATACAGATCAAAGAAGAGAGATTCAACCTGAGCTGGATGGAGTCACCTTGCCCTTGAAAACAGAGGCCTCCAACTTGAGAGTATTCTTGGGTTCCCCTCTGAGCCCGAATGCCTGGGTTTCAGTGGTGGCTAGGAAAACATCTGCATGTCTAAAACCGGTGTGCTACCTGCCATCTGGAGAGTTTGGACTTGCACATGGAGATGCATGCCTCAGTTTTATCACATCTGGATTACTGAAACACAGTCTCAAATGGGGTTGCCTTTGGAACCTCCAGTGGGTCCAAATTATTGCAGCAAGGTTGATGGCTAGAGAATTGAACAGCCTCACCGGCTACCAGTTTACACACTTCAAAGGGTTGTTTGTGACCTGTGAAAGATGCTACAACCTGGATCCAACCCACATTTCAACAATTGAGCCTGTTCAGGTCTTAAGATCTTTAGGACAGTTTTTCTCTGAAGAGGCACATCTGTCAAAGGATGTGGCAGAAGGTCTATTCAGCCACGGTTCCCAGGTTTGGGAATGCCCGCTTAGACAACAGACCAGAAGACTGGTCCACTCCTTGCTTTCCTTTAGGTAGCAGGGAGGACCTTTTTAAAGGTAGGCTTTTAAGAACAGAATCAAGCCACCGGGTTTCACTGCATGACGCTGTGTGTTCTTGCTGCTTTTCATGTGTGGGTGTTCTTAAATCAACAGTTTTTAAAATGCGGTTGTATGCAGAATGGTTATTTAATGTTATAACAGCTAATTGTGTTTTTAAATTGTAATTTAGGTTGTACTTCTTAAAAAAATCATTTTGTGAGTTGCCCCGGGTGCCTCTATCAGAAGAAAGGTGGCACAAATAAAATATACTATAAACAGAGAAATGGCACAAATAAAATATACTATAAATAGTAACAAGCAGAAGCCACATGGAAGTCAAGAATTTGCGGGCTCACGAACTGGCTGCCAATTAAAGAGATGCTTTATTTATTTTAAAGACGCCCCTGAAGCCTTGTGTTCTCTTTCCTAGCCACATAAAAG